TAACCGTATTATTATGGATGTCGGGATTTTTGATTTATGAACCAGAAATCGATATGCTTTACTATTGGTCACATATCCTATTGAAAACACAATCAACAGTTTTCATCCTATCTTTACTCTTTTGGTTTAGGAACTTGCACTTTTTGCCAAAACACCCCCACACTTTTAAAATAATTTCAAAGTTTGGGCTTCCATTCCTTTCATTTTTCAATATGGAATGAATTGTGTTTTGCTTATGGGGTACTCGAATTTTAGTAATCGGTTTAGCCGTAAGAACGCTTCCCCCCACAAGTTCTGTGGCAAAACCAGAAACTTAACAACAAGGCGTTCATCATCTCGTTTAATAAACGATTCGTTTCTTTCCGCAATCCGCATTGGATTGGGGAGTGTAGGGGCTGTTGTTTGATGATACTTCCATATTCTAAACATATTTCTTCACAAAGGAGATCCAATATTCACCAACCCCTATCATTTTTCTTATCATTTATTGATTTTCTTGTTAATTGCGTTTCAACTTCATTTTTTGTATTACTTGAATGCATCTATTGCTTCCATCTTTACTATTAAGTTAAGTAAACATAGCAATGATCGAGTTACTATCATCATTAAAAGTTATGAAACTTATTTCCAAACCGCAAGATGGGTATTGACTTCATGTCGAAATATCTGTGTGAATTATTCTAAGGGATTTGAATTCCTTTCAAACTGAAACTTACAAGGATATTTAAACATACTTAGAATTCCACACATATTTGACATTTTGATTTTCGCATTCCAACTTAGCAATACTTCCAAGTTAATCATTTTCCGCAGGTTTTATATATTGACAAATGACCCAAACGTAATTATGCCATAATCATTTACTCAGTAAGTAAGATGAAACTGAATGTTATTATTATTCTCAACAACATTATATTAGCTTGAAAGTTTCCTACCCAAATTTTCATTCTTAACTTATTACAACCTTATCGGATACAAAAACATACTTAAAACCGTTCTAACAAGAAGTCCAGCAGAGACTAATTCTTTCCTAAATCTCAGGAACATAGGACGTTATTCAAAGTCCACCACCTTACCAGAAGTCATTTCAGAAATATCTTCCCACATCCATTAATTTTGACCGTTGCAAACATTTCCATAGAAAGCGTCTCTTCGGGGTCCAATAGGGCATATGGAGCAAATCGCTTCCCTAACAGCACAAACAAGGCGAGTGGCTCCAGAATCAATCCACCACTCCTTAGGAATTTCCCACCGGTTTGCATTCAGAAAGCATAGCACAGAAGTCATCAACATCTTCGTCTTTCAACCATGTTTGCTTGAACTCTTCTTCTTGTCTTTCTTCGGAGTACGACAATCTGCAGATTTGTGTCCAGCTTTCCCACAGTTGTAGCAATTTTCCATTGAACCGCTTTCTTGCTTGGCGTTTGCTTTTCTTGTCCAGAAGCCCGCTTCCTCTTTCTCTTATTTTGAGAATTTATCCTCAAAATTGTTTTCTCTCCATTATTGTTGAGTTTCCACGGCCTCTCTTTTCAGCAGCTTGTTTTGCTTCTTCGGTCTCACCGGCAAACAATGAATCTTCAAGCGACATCTCCTTGCGTTTGGTTTGTTTCAGTAGTTTTATTGAAGTCCTTCCGCAAAGGAGGCAACTTCTCAATCATCGCTGCTACTTGGAATGCTTAATTGATGATAAGACCTTCAACGAAAATTCTGTTAGTAAAATACTAGAAATTACTACTTTAAGATCAGTTATTAATTCAGATTTATACCTCAGCAAGGAGATCGTGAGTAATCACTTGCAGTCCTGGACTTGGGGTAATTTACAGACTTTGCTATCTACCAGTTTGTAGTTTCAAAAACTTAGCGACAATGAATTCTTTCAACCCGATATCTTCACGTTTTGTATTCGTTTTCAAGTGCAGTCGACAATCTTTTGACGTCTCCACACCACTGTAGATGTATACAGATCGTTCTCCAGTCCGCTAAGAATATAATTCTTGCACAGAAAATCAGAATGCTTCCATGCCTCAATCACGAGAAAGCATTCATTCTCTGTATTTTCATCTGGCAGAACAGGAACATCTTCCTTGATGAACTTCTGTAGACTTAAAGTAGTCAAGTAGAAGAACATCGTGTGCTGCCACCGCTTGAAATCAATCCTAGAAAATTTTTCGGGTTCTTCCGCCGGTGCCAATGCTGGTGTTCGGCTTGTCGATGCATTGGCAGTCACCATCGGAACAACTTGGTTCCCGTTGTCATTAGTCATTTCTGTAAAAGAATGACACAAACAAACATTAAAATCACGTAAAACGGCCATAACATAAATGCCATAAAATAAATGGCTATTTACGCAACAATAAACCGGGAATTGAAGAGGGGGGTTAATTTTTCGTTACAAAATCGGAAAACTGAAAACGGATAACGGAAAAAAAGTTTAATATTCCGTTGGATTTAATATTAATATTCCGTTTGATTTCTGTTAATATTTGCTATTAACAAATAAATTTGGTCCAAAAAATTAATTAATCAATCAATCAATCATTTGACCAAATCCGAATCCGAATCCGAAGCCGAAGCTGAGCCGAGCGAGCGACGACGATGACGGCGTGAGGCTTGCCTTCTTCTTAACTCTTTAAGAGCTATAAGAAGAGCAATTGTATATATACCCATCAAAAACCTTTTCCTCTTCCAATATGGGACAATGTCCCATTGTCAAGGGGAAAACTTAAATTTCACTTAAAAATTTCATTTTCCCTCCGTTTCCCATTCACCCTCTTTTAAGCCTATTTAGCTTAAAACCTCAACAGTATACGGGTAAAATTGGGGATAACACACACTCCGGTTTCCCCGTGAAGAAAATAGAATGAGGTCATGAACACACAAGATTGAAATCGAGATTGGGAGCCCTTTGTATCGAGATTCGTGAAAAGTGAACGATGTGCTCACCATCGGGCCTGATAAAGTGACGCGGCTCGGACTCAGGATGAGTTCTAAGACCTGGGAAAACACGATAAATGGTTATACACAACGCATAGCGGGTTGTGATATTCGCACCCAACCAATTATCACGGCGCGGATTTCGCTCGATGTCGGTTACGGATAAGTAATTAATGAGAAAGGAGGATTTTTACCGTTTTTAGACTTATACTAGGGATGAAACTCTCCTCCTATATAAAGGAGAAGTTTTTCTTTTATAAAGGACATTGTAAAACACAAATCAAAGCAATACAAATTCATTTTCTTCCTTTTAGCTACTGCAGAAGTTCTTATTTAATTATTCTGTTCTTTATTCACGACTAGGCTCAAACCAAAGGTCCAATCGAGGTCAAAATCACTATTCAACCTAGGTTCGGGCTAGGCCATAGCATTACAACTGGTTTGATCGTTTATTCTGTCTTTAACTCATTTATCCAATATTCTTGAGTATTTGTGTTGAATCAATCCACATATCCTTAAAACCACATACAAATTTAATTGTTATCCGATTTTAGGGTAAACAGTTTGGCGCTCACCGGTGGGGTTGAGGATAATAGTGGTGATTTGATACAAATCTCCATAATACACACTATTTTACCCTTGTTCTTTAAAATTTTAATTTTAGGTCAGCCTAAAAATATCGAACTCTCAGTCTGCTCACTTGAACGTTAACGGTGAGTCTGGCCATCATGGCAAGAACAATAATTTAGTGCCTAGCAACGAGGTGCCTCCTGCTGATCCTAACGGTGTCCCAGTTACGGATCCGGTTGATGCTAGCTCACAAGTGGCCATCAATGTCAATTTGCCAATTGACTCCAAAAATAGTGTTCGCGGGGGACCCCAACCAACAGCTTGAGAAGCGCCCGAATGCGAAGGTGATGCAGTAAGCTTGCGGTTAATCTTTGAAATGTTACAGGCTCAACACGCGGCAATAGCGCAGCTGTAGAATCAAAGCCATGCTCTCAGTAGGGTCTAGCCCGTACAAACCTGGGAAAGCACCCGAAGAAACGAACAAATCACCGAGAGACCGGGTATAGCCGAGCCCGGGGTCAATCCCGAGATAATGAAAATGCTTGAAGCATTAACGAAGCGGGTGGAGTCAGGTGAGAAGAAAATTAAGGCTAATGAAAAGAAGGTATATGGAAAGATACAATGCCAGGGTTGATCAGATCCCAAGGGAACCCCCGATACTGAAAATTTATCCAGAAGCCTTTCCCTCCAAGCGCGCCACCAAAACCAATCCCAAAAAGGTTTCGTATGCCCGATATCCCCAAATACAACGGGACCACGAATCCAAATGAACATATGACTTCCTACACATGCACGATCAAGGGAAATGATTTAGAGGATGATGAAATTGAGTCGGTGTTACTGAAGAAGTTCGGAGAAACTCTATCTAAGGAAGAGATGATATGGTATCACAACTTACCCCCAAATTTCATTAACTCATTTTCTATGCTTGCAAATGCTTCCATTAAAACCTATGACGGGGCTATCAAGGTCGAGACCAGGAAGTCAGACCTTTTCAAGGTCAAACAAAGGTATAATGAGATGCTTAGGGAGTTTATGTCAAGGTTCCAGCTGGTACGGATGGATCTACCATCGGTCATAGATGACTGGGCTGTTCAGGCATCACTTGGGTGCTCAACCCCCAAAGTTCCTTGGCCTCACAATAGTTGAAACCAAATTCGAAAGAGTAACCGGCGGTAACCTGGGCCGACGTCCATAGTAGATACCAATCAAAGATTAAGGATAAGGACGATCAGCTCGGAGCCCTTTTCGGATCTGTTTAACATATCCGGCCTGATGACAGTTCTAAGAGAGCAATTGATCAAGAACCAAACCGACCTGAGACCGGTATCAACAATACAATGCGAACCGAGAGGAAATGGATCTGGGCGCCATCCCATAAGACGTGAGTAGAGAAGCGATCGGGGGCCTGGTGGCCGAGGCTTGTGAGCAAAAATGGGTTCGATAGGACGCTTAGAAGTAGGGAAGCATCTAGATTGTCGAAATACAACTTCAACATGGACGCCGCCAGCATCGTGTCAGCTATAAGGCGCATTAAAAAGACCAAGTGGCCCCGACCATTGCAGTCCGACCCTTCCCAGAGAGATCCTAACTTGATGTGCAAGTACCACGACACCCATGGCCATAGGACTGTTGACTGCCGACAATTAAGAGAAGATGTTGCCCGGTTATTCAACAACAAGCACCTTTCAGAATTCTTAAGTGATCGAGCCAAAAATCACTTTAGGAATAGGGATACCAACAAACATGTCGACCAAGAGGAGCCTCACCACATAATCAACATGATCATCGGAGTAATAGATGTCCCCAAAGGGCCAATAATTAAACGCACTAAAGTATCCATCGCGAGGGAAAAATTCAAATATTATTTTCTGGAGGGAACCATTTCGTTCAGTGATGAGGATGCCGAGGGCATCGTGCAACCTCAAAATGATGCGCTGGTAATATCCGTAGTTATAATAAATCTCGAGTTAAACATGTGTTGATTGATCCAGGTAGCTCGGTCAACATCATTAGATCGAGGGTCGTAGAGTAATTAAGGTTATAGGACCAAATCGTGCCAGTGGTGCGGGTGTTGAACGAATTTAACATGGCATGTGAAACTACTAAAGGAGAAATAACCTTTCTAGAGAACACCGTCGGGACAATTGAAGAAATAAAATTCTACGTGATCGAGGGGGACATGAGGTACAATGCCCTGTTCGTAAGGCCATGGGTTCACAACATGAGGGCGGTACCCTCGACCTTGCACCAGACGATGAAATTCCCCATACCGGGGGGAGTCAAGATGGTATACAGAGAACAGTAGGATGCAAAGGAGATGTTTGAAATCGATAAGGTAATTCCGGTGCCCGCGGTTTCGACATCAAGAATGCAGAGCCGACCAAAAAGGAGGAAATTAAATAGCAATCATTGATACAGGACTCGACTGAACTGGAGGAATGACGAGCAGACGAGGAGGACGATTACACTATCCCGATATCATTCATAGCTCCTGATGACACCGGCGCCACCAAATCGACGGTTGAAGAGTTGGAGCAAGTAATATTAATCGAACATCCACCAGATCGAAAAGTATACCTGGGCATGGGGTTAACCCCCGAGCTCATGGAAAAGCTTATTAATTTTCTTAAAGATAACGTAGATTATTTCGCTTGGTCTCATCTTGACATCGCAGGGATCCCGCCGGAGGTAACAACTCATAAGCTGAGTTTGGACCCGAAGTTTCATCCAGTCAAGCAGAAGAGGAGGCCACAATCCGAAGTCAAGCATGCATTCATCAAGAATGAGGTATCCAAACATCTTAAACTAGGATCCATCCGGGAAGTTAAATACCCGAACTGGTTAGCTAACGTAGTGGTAGTTCCTAAAAAAGGGAATAAGCTAAGAATGTGTGTAGATTACAATGACATGAACAAAGCATGCCCCAAGGATTCTTTTCCTTTGCCTAATATCGATCGAATAATTGACGCGACGGCCAGGCACGGGATACTCAGTTTTTTCGACGTCTATTCCGGGTACAACCAAATTCTGACGGACCAGACGACCAAGAAAAGACTTCTTTCATAACTAAATTCGGCACCTACTATTATAATGTAATGCTGCTTGGGTTAAAGAATGCCGGTGCTACCTATCAACGCCTAGTAAACCGAACGTTTGAAAATAAACAGGGAAATCTATGGAAGTTTATATTGACGATATGTTGGTTAAATCCTCATGAGCAGAGGACCACTTGAAATATTTGCAGGAGACATTCAACCTACTAAAGAAATACAATATGAAGCTGAACCCGGAGAAATGCGCATTCAGGGTCGGATCAGGAAAATTCCTCGGGTTCATGGTGTCCAATTGAGGGATTAAGATCAACCCCGACAAAATAAAGTCTATAAAAGATGTCACCATGGTGGGACTACATCAAGGCCATTCAAAGATTGGCCGGGCGTAGAGCCGGCCTGGGTCGGTTCATCTCGAGATCCTCAGACAAGAGACATCGATTCTTCTCACCATTAAAGAAGAAGAATATTTTTTCATGGATGCTGGAATGCCAGCAAGCTTCAGAAGAACTCAAATGGTACCTATCGAGTCCATCCCTGCTGCACACTCCAAAGGCAGACGAACAACTATACCTCTACTTGGCGGTTTTCAAGGTGGCAGTAAGTGGTGTCTTAGTCCGTACGGAAGAAAGTACACAATTTCCTTTTTACTACGTTAGTAGAACTCTAGGCGAGGCTGATCCAAGATATGCTTACCTGGAAAAGTTGGCTCTCGCTTTGCTAAGCTCCTCCAGGAAGCTAAAGTCGTACTTTTAATGCCACCCCATATGTGTCGTGACCTCTTACCCGCTAAGGAACATCATGCACAAGCCTGAACTCTCAGGCCAGTTGGCCAAATGGGCCATGGAAATTAGCAGTTACGATATCGAGTATCGACCCCGAACCGTCATAAAATCTCAGATTTTGGCAGACTTTACGCCGGCCTTAATACCCAAAGTCGAAAGGAATTTATTATTAACCTTGGGGACCACTTTGGGAATATGAGCCCTTTTTATGGATAGTGCCTCGAACGCGAAGGGGTCCGGGCTCGATATCGTATTAATAACGCCTACGAGAAATGTAATTAGGCAATCTATTACAATTGTGAAATTTACTAACAATGAGGCTGAGTCTGAGAACATGATTGTAGGTCTAGAATTGGCTAAAAGCCTTGGGGCTGAGGTGATCGAAGCTAAGTGTGACTCCCTCCCCGTGATAATCAAGTTAATAAGACGTTCGAACTAAAAGAAAAATGGATGCAAAGGTACTTGGACAAATTACAAGTAACCCTACATCAATTCAGGGAATGGACCCTGCAACATGTACCCCGAGATCAAAACAGGGCGGCCGATACACTGGCTAACTTGGGGTCGTCGGTCGATTCCAATGAATTCAATTCGAGAGCAGTGGTGCAGCTAATGAACTCGGTGATAGAAGAAGGCCACGCTGAAGTGAACTCAACGAGTTTAACTTGGGATTGGAGAAACAAATACATAGACTAATTGAAGACAAGGAAACTACCTTTGGATCCTTAAGAATCGAGAATCATGCACACCAAAGCTGCCAGATTTAGCTTGATCGAAGGGGCTTTGTTCAGGAGGACCTTCTTTGGCTCACTAGCCAACTTCTTAGGACCTGGAGAGACTGAATACGCCATGAGAAGAGTTCACAAAGGCATTTGGGGGAACCATTCGGGGGTAGAATCCTTGGTTCGGAAACTAATTAGGGTCGGCTACTATTGGACCAAATTGGAGAAGGATACAAAGGACTTCGTACGGAAATGCGATGAGTGCCAAAGACACCCCCCGATGATCCATCAACCGGGAGGAATTCTCCACTCGTTCGTGTCCCCATGGCCATTTATAAAGTGGGGAATGGACATCGTCGGTCCCCTACCATGGGCACCCGGTAAATCACAATTCATACTATTCATGACCGATTATTTTTTCAAATGGCTTGAGGCCTAGGCATTCGAAAAGGTCCAAGAAAAAGAAGGCATTGAATTCATCTTGGACCACATAATATGTCAATTTGGGATACCGACCGAGATTATTTGTGACAACGAAAAATAATTCGTCGAGAGTAAGGTGAGTAAGTTATTAGAAGACCACAAGATTAAGAAGATACTATCGACACCTTATCATTATAGTGGGAATGGCCAGGCAGAGTTATTGAACAAGACTATACTTCAAAACTTGAAAAAAAAAGGTTGACCCGTTCGATAGGAAAATGGAAGGAGATCCTGCCTGTAGTCCTATGGGCATACCGTACGACTTCGAAATTGAGCACCAGGGCTACCCCATTTTATTTGGTCTACTGAGCCGAAGCCTTAATGCTAGTAGAGGTGGAGAACCAAGCCTCAGGTTCCAGTATGCGATCGAAGAGACAAACAGGGAAGCACAAGCCTGGAACTATTGGATGAAAGGCGGGAGGCTGCCATGGTCCATTTGGCCGCCCAGAAGCAGAGAATACAAGTTATTACAATCGAAGGGCCAACCTCTGATACTTTCAAGTCGGGGACTTGGTGTTGAGAAAAGTAACACTACACCAGGAACCCAAACGAAGGGACACTGGGCCCGAATTGGGAAGGATTATACCGAGTTGTCGGAATAACCGACAAAGGCTCATATAAACTTGAAGCAGGAAATGGCATACAACTACCAAATAACTGGAATGTGACATACTTAAAGCGGTATTTGGTAGTAATGAAAGAAACATTTCTTTAGCCATGACACAAGTTTTTATGCGCTTTCGATCATGTACCTTGCATACTAAGCAATGAAAGAAATTTCTATTTCCCTTACACTTTGTTGCTGCGCATTTTGCTTCTCTGATCATGGATCCTAAATTCCACGGGCTATCCCTACTCAGGGACTGTCGCTCGATGAAAATTTAGATGATCTGGGTTGCCAAAGCTTGGAGGCACCAAACTCATTAGGCAGTGCCCAAATATAAAAGGCTTCGGCTGCCCTAGAAACAGCTTGGAGACGTTCGAAGTCTGTGACCATAAAGTAAGGCCCTTACAAAAATTTGAAACCTACTAAAAGGTTACCCTCGGTAAAAATACCATCTAAAACCCCTTAAGCATCTTAAAAACCTTTGGTCTCACCGAGGTCGAAACCACAAGTAAACCAAAATCGCATCGGAGTCGTGATCCGTTCGAACCCCTGAAAAATAGATACTCCATAACTACATATGATTTTATGCTAAGACATTAAAAAAATATGCTAATAGAATTTCAAAAAGCTGCTAGAAAAATAAAGACATGGTATTGCCAGAAAGGGAAAAATTTATATACTCCAAAATGTATTTACAAAGGCACGATGGAATGACCTCAAAATAAACAAGACAAATTTACATAAGGAAAAACTGGAAAAGTACTAAGGCATCTACTCCTGGTCTTCATCGCGGCCTGACTCATCGGCAGAACCATCGGAGCCCTCGGAACCCTCAAAGTCGTCGGGATCCTCAGGCTCGTAGAGCTCCTTTGCCTCGGCCTCGAGCCTCCTAGCTTCTTCAATCTCAGCCGATAGAACAAAACCTCGGGCATGGATCTCTTCAAGGGTCTCTCTTCGGGATAGCTGCTTCATGCACTTAGTCTTCATCTTTAAGCGAGTCTCAGTACCACCACATCAGCCTTGTACTAGGCTACCATTTCCTCAGCATCAACAGAGGTTGCATCTAATTTAGACCTCAGCAGAACATATTCTTGTTCGAAAGCATCCCGTTCCGCGACAGCCGAACTCAGCTATGCATGGAGGTCATCATATAGTCGAGAACACTTTTCGACTTTGCCCTTCGCCACCCGAAGTTGGTTCTCGACAGATGCCAGCTCCGCCTTAGCAGCTTCCTTCTCCGAAGCCAGTAGGTCCATCTTGCCCTTCCATACTTCGATTGTGGCCTTGACCTCATCTAACTTAGCCCGAAACTGGTCAATTCGTTCTATCTTCTCTTGAACTTGCGAAGTTGTGTTGTTAGTCACCACGATTAGCTGCTCG